TGTAGTTCACCCATAGAAAGAAATCTTAACGAGACACCCTTTTTGACATCTGGTTTACTTCTAACACTTCCTTTATGCTCATGCCATCTTTCTTGCAACTATTGAGAACTTGAGTTTAAAATTGGTGATGGTATGGTCAAGTCCTTCTGATGCATTACATAAAATCTTGACCTCGGACAAGGCTTAAGGAGCTAGCTTTTTAACCCCTTTCTATAAATCTAATCTCTTGAATACTATTTTCCCTACCTTCTCCTTTGGCAGGTGCCATTATCCAATATGGTATTTTTGTTTAAAAATCTATGCACTACAGTAGTCCTTTGGAGATGACAAGGTAACATTATTTCTCGGGGAGTTTTGAGCTGTTTGTTTTAATGACATACACAGTAACAGCTTGATGTTTCAGCAACTGTTTTCTAATTGCTGTTTTGTGTGTGTGTTTTTAAACATGTACAATCTAAAAACTGATAGACTATTTGTGAAGAGGAATAGCATAAAATTATGTATTTTTGCACTGCTTCAGGAGTCAAAAAATTCTTTTTATATGCATTACAACTCACTTATCTATGACTCTAAACTTTTTATCTTTTATGACTCAGTATCATCCAAGAGTGAGAAATATATTTGAGATTCAAAATACGGTAATACTGAAACTTGATATTTAACTTTCAGAAACTTGAAATTATTTCTTTTGAAGGAGATGCCTCAAAGAAGGAAAACTTTAGAAAAATAAGATTCTCTTAAAATGAGCTAATTACTTATGTAACAAGGACTTGGTAGGTGTGAAAATCAGATGGTTTCTAACTGCAGTACTTTGCAAAATAAAGTCACTGGTGAATATTCAGAACTCTTGAAGCTGGAGCTCAAGAATTTAAGGTGTGTGTAGACTGTCAAGTGGTTTAAAAGCTTATCTTTTGGATAAATTCTGCTTCATCCCTTTGTTCAACAGTTAGTGGCAGGCTTTATACAGATCCACTGCAAAACAAAGAGTTGGCTTAACAAATAAGTTTAGTTTTACAATACTGCGTAAGACATAACTGAAACAAGTAGACATGTGAAAGTGTTGGAGTATATGCTGATCTGCTAAGGAAAGTTGCCAAAACAAGTACTGGAAGTTTATGTGCTCGAGTATATAGCTGGAATGGTGATTTTCTTTTTTTTGTTGCTGCTGTTTTTTGCTTGACGCTCTGGACAAGAGAGTAAAACACAACAGCCGAGAGCTTCTGATTCTTCAGTGGCTGCCAAGAGTTAACAGGACTGTATTTGGAAAAATCACTCTCTGCCTAATGAAGAAATAACAGCGCTTCATACCAAAAAAGAGCATTGTTGTAACTACAACTGGTGGCAAACAAAGAATCAGTTATTTGCCTGAAGCATTATGGCACATCAGCAAGAAGCAAGAGTGGGTGTCTTTGTGGAGCTGATACTCAAAGCCTCAATTAGTTAGGACTTTACCCACATTGATAATAATTACTACTACTAATAACTGATACTGTAATGTACTTTGAAAAGTACTTTACATGTTCACTAATCCTTAGGGTTATTTTGTAAAGCAGGCAGGTAACAGGAGAATCTGCGTTCTGAGAGTGGTACGATTGTGTATCCTGTAAAGTTCAGGTGCTCAGGGTTAAATACCAATGGTCTGATTTTCATTGGCAGTGAGGTTGAGCTGCTCTTGTTGCAATTACATGGATGTGTATGCCTTTATTGAGAAGATAGGGCTGAGCTCCTAACTTGGGATAAATTCAAAATCAGACGCAACCTGTGACATACTTGCTTCAGCCAATTGTCTGAAATTATGCACAACACCAGTAGCAATGAATCCTGTTTTTCTTGTTAGGTGTTCTATTACCCAACACTTAGAATGTGGTACAATTGTTAAAATAGAATAAAAAATATCCCATTCACAAAATTCTTAAATCGACAGGAAAGAGTTAACCTGAAAGATTCTTCTCAGCTACCAGTATATCATTTTTTTTTCCCTCTCTTGCTTTCTTGTTCCTACTAGTTTCTGCAAGTTGATGTACGTTATCTGTCTCAAGGGTGTGCAGCACATGGACATGAGTAGTTGGGCATGAAGGGACCTTTTACTCCAAATAAACCAGAATCGTACAGAGCATGTAATAAAACTTGGAGCTTCTCTTAACAGAGATTGGTAACTGTTGTGCTGGCGCATTTGTTGTTTGTAAAAAGCATACTTTTTACTCAGTTTTGTTTTTGTTGGATGTGCTTATTATAGTACAGTACTTGCAAGACAGGCTTATATTTGACAGCGGAAAAATGGTGACTTCAGGATTCTTTCTAATACTGTTTTGCAGATCTGGTGTTATTTTATCATGCTTGACATGTATTTTTTTTCCTTTTTTAATTTTCTTTGTTTTTTTCTTTTCAAGCCTGGAAGTTTTGAGGCACTTCAACAGAAAATATAGTTACTTTCTAACCGCTTAAAATGTTAATGTTGGTACTGTTTCTATTACCCTTGGCTCCCAAATCTTTGCATTGTTTAGAAATACATTGTTACGCTCAGCCGCCAGA